TCACCGCTCCTGGCTCGCCCTGAACGAGAGGCAGGTGACTTCGGTTTTTGTTTTCGCCTTGTGTCACAGGTCCTAATACCGAGTCTAGACCCAGAAGGCTCGGAAGTCTTCGAATCAGCTTGGGGCCAAAGCCGAGCCGCAGAACCTGTCTGCTTTAACGGGGTGGTATTATCTGGCTTTGGCATCAGGGCAGAAGTCGCATGTAAAGGAGTGGAAATTGGAGGGCAGTCTCCGAAGTAATTGAGTTTTTCCAGCTAAGCTGAGATAGCTGAGATGTGAATTCGACAGAGCCCACTTTTGAGGTAGCCTGAAGATTGTTTAATTATACACAGTTTGAAGATCTACTTATCTCTTCCCAAATTTAGTTTGGGCACAGTTGAATGAAAGAGGCCTGAAATAGTTTGTTTTCAAAATGTTTGGGTCTTCTCTCTTTGTAAAACATTTTTTTTTCACAACAGTGTTGGTTACTGAGTTATTTGTCCTTTAGAAGTCTCTCTCCCTGTCCTCTTCACCTCTCTCCTCTCTCTCCCTCTCTCTCCCCTGTTGGTGCCGATTCCTTCAGGAATGCAGACTGCTTTTGGATTTTTGACATCAGCGAAGTTATTAATTTATCTTAAAAGTGAGAGTAACTCTGTCCTTAGGTCCTGTGATGTCTGAGGCCCCCAGAATGGAATAGCTCTTAAGGAAGGACTCTCTTTCCATACACAGGGGAACTTACCTTTTAAGAAACAGATTACAGAAACATGGCAGCCTCCATAGAGAATCTTGTAAAATACTGCATTTGAAACTTTGACTGACATAGCAAGTTTTTTTCCTTTTTTAAGAAAAAATTAGGGTTTGCTTCTTTCTGCTCTGTGTTGTTTCAGAAAATAAACTATTGCATATTAAATGCAGTATTTGAACGAGAAATATTCACTTGTGTAAACGATGGAAATCTTGCCGCCTCTTAAATAGACTGTATTTGAAATAACAAATTAGTATTTCCTATACATGCTTTGCTGTAAGCTGCTTCAAAGCTGAGATTTTCTGGTAAACTGAGCAGATAGCATTCCGGATGACTCTGGAGCATGCTGTTGATATGCTCTTAAAAATGGGTTGTGGAGATAAATTTGGAAACCTCCCCATGCCTGGGATTTGGCAAGAGGTTTCTCTTATAAACATACTTGCTGCCTCAAAGAAAAGAAGCCTAATTATTGGCAACAGTCGGGCAAAATTTACGATGAAAACTGTGACCAACCATTGCTGTTTTCTAAATCCAATTAATATGTCAAGTTGTGCAAGTTTCAGGGATTGTCGTGGGCAATAAATCCTGCAGATAACTGGGTTCTTGAAACAGATTTATAAAGTATGGCTTATAAATACTAGAGAGAATGGGAGTCTAGCTTTTACTGCTTATTCCTGTCGAGGTCAGTAGAATTCTAATTTTTGGTTGTTTTCTCGTGCCAGATTATCACCATGAGATATATAAGATCTCAGAATTCAGCAACAGTGTTAATGGGGAGGCCAAAGAAACACAATCCATTTTTTTTAGGTAGGTTCCTATGTCAATTAATTTCTCAGCAAAACAGTGTGGCCATTTGCAGTTGGGGGGATTGTGCGAGAACGGGAAATGTCTGCCACTGCTTAATGTGTGACACTCTTTTCAAGACCTTTTATTTTACAGATTGCCAATATATTCCTTATTAACATTGCTAAAAGTTGTAATTTCAGACATAAATGTTTATTAGTGTCTGCACACAGTGCTAATTATCACTCGCTCTCGGAGCCAGATGCTGACCGCGCAGTTTTGTGGCTCTGCTCACCCCATTTACATTGCATATTTGCTGGCATGCTTCACTGCCAATAGTTTGTGTAATTGGGGTATTACATCTTTGACATCTGGATAACAGAAATTCAATTTCCAGGAAGCTGCTATTTGTTTGGTTTTGCTTCTGCCTTGGGTGGGATAGAGGATTAATGTGCTGTCTTATTATAACGTCCCTTCACCTCTGTGGCCTGGTTGCTAATCCTGCCATGACAAAATTAAATTAAATCTACAGTCAAAAAGCGTAAGGAAAATAAAAGTGTGGTTGTCTGCCCAGCTACCTCTTGATAGTGCTATTTACCATTCTGTGGTGCCTTGGCTCCTGCTTCTCTGCCTTTGTATTCCTTTCCCACCAACATTTCTGACCATGGAGAAGAGCCCTGCCTTTCTGCTGGCCTCCCTCCGTCCTTCCTGGCTCAACTCAGGGGCAAGTGGAGCAAAGGCAACATCTCCCAGACCTGCCAACAGTGTGGTCACACTCGGGGTCAGGTAACCAGGTGTAGCTGCTGTGTGCTGTGTCGTTTTGTACTTGAAGGACTGGATGTGTGAGTTGTCATCTGCAGACCAGGAACCGAAAGTCAGACTTTAGGATGTTGCCTGTAAGAGTGGAGTGCCCACAGTGTCACAGCGGAGAGTACTGGGTGGCTTCACCTTGCCCCAGGTGTCAGGGATGTGGACTAAGAGGAGGCAGGGTGGGGCAAATGGGAACAAGGGCCGGCGTGCCCCGTGCCCGGCTTCCAGGCCACCGGTTACTGCTACTCAGACCAGTTTGACCATCCTTCAGGTGACAAAGCTGGGGAATAGTGTGCTGCACACGGATCTCTGTTTTGCTTTGAAGGAAAGAAACGGTGGATTGCAAAGGACTGAAAGACGTTGAGCACATGCAGTGCTTACAGACGTGAAATAGTAGGGAAACACCAACGTTTCTTACAGGAACATCATCTCGGGCCCCAGGGGTCTTTCCGCTGAGGGAGAGACTATGGCTGAGGCCGTGCTGCTCTCACCACCTGTTGACTGTTCAGAGAGCTGAAACAGCCCAAAGGTTGATACTGACGTGAATTGCTATGGCCAGGAAAGAGGTCTGCAATTTTATGCTTCTCAGTTCCCTAGCCTGGTGAGTTCTCTATTTAAGGACCACTGGATTGAGCCATTTGAAATAAAGAATTTGCCTTCTAATAGAAAATTTACGTTGATTATACAGATGAAACACCATGTCCTTGATTTAGTTTTCCAGGGAAGACCTGTCCCCAGCCTCCTTTCTTCTGTGTGTAGAAAAGTAGTAAAGACACAAGAGGAAGTGAATTTTGAAGATGATAAAGGAGAGGCTGAGGAACAGGAGGTTCTGGGGTTCAGGGTTCAGTAAACTACAAACTCAAAGGTGGCCGCTGCTATCCTGTTTCCTCCTGTGAGTGGAGGAAGATATGAACACCCAGATAAGACAAGGCTGGGGTCCACTTTCAAAGTAGTTGTCAGAAAGACTGAGCAGCCAGGAGTGTGCTGTGTAGGGTAAATGGCTTTGGGAACCAGTCACACATTTTAATTTGATAGTTGAAAAGGGAACTTTACCCCATGGACGCTGACTTTCTCAAGCTGGCTTGATGGACTACAGTAAAGATTTGGAAGAAAACAATTCATTTGATCAATTCAGCAAGTATTTTTGTGAGAAAATGAACTCAGCTCTTTTGTGGTTTGGGAGTGGGATCTGAGATGGATTGGACAGGGACCCTGCTCTCAGCGAATGAAATCCTGGGGGAGAGTGGGACATATGCAGAAATCACACAGCTGCAGTTTGAGCTCTGTGTGCAAGGCCTGAGCTGGGTCCTTTATGTGAATGGTCTCATTTACTCCTGCAGCACACCCGCCACAGGGTCGCTCGGAGGGTGAGGATGGCCATAGGCAGGGTCCCAGTCAGGCTGTCTGAGCTTTGCCTCCCCACCCTATGCCTCTCTGTGTGAACAGTGACTAAATGGCATTCACAGATGAGCAGGTCAGAAACAGAAGTAGAGTTGCAGGCCCACAGCCTTTCCTCTACTGGCGGAGAGCTTTGCAAAGACCAGACCTCGAGCAGGTGGAAGATTCCTGGTGGGCAGCATGATGTGGGCCACGGCAGAGTAAGAAGCATGGTTACAGCTGGACTTTGAGTGCTACATTGTACAGCTACAACTCACTTCCACCTCTGTTATCTTGGGGTTTTCACAGCACCCCTACAGGGTACCCAGGATGGCTACTCTTCTTCCCGTAATAATGGGGACTGAAGCTCAGAGTGAAGGGACTTGCGTGTGACTGGTGGAACGTGGAGTGAACCTAGGTCTCATGTCCAAACTTCCCCTCTCCTGTCTCGAGGCAGGCGAACTCAATGAGGACACCTTATGCTCGTAGGAGGGTACTTTATTAAAAAGTATTTTATGAAACAGTTAATTTGTTACTCATCGTAATAATACAAGCATTAAAGTCTTTTATACTTTGAGTTTTGGTTTAGATTTACTATTATAGCAAATGCATTTGAAACATTTATTTTTCAGTTATTCAGGTCTCATTTATTTATTCATTTAGTGAATGTTTTTGGAGCTCTAGCCTGTCCTGGTTATTCTTTCCAATGTTCTGCTTGGTTATACAGCTTTTTGTAGATGAAGCCCATGGCGTGCTGGCCATGCCAGGGAAGCATGGTCAAGATCTCCTTGATCTTGAGCCTCTTTTCAGTGGCTTTTTTGATGACAGCTGTTCCCTGCAGGCCCCTAGAATCTGTCTAAAGAGAACTCACACCCAACATTTATGGACGACGCCCCTCACCACTGCGATGCTGCTCCCGGAGCAGCTGGGTGTGCCGCATGGGGTACAGCGTGCTCTTCACCCGGAGCTTGTGGCTTGGGTGCCAGCTCCTCCCAAGAGGAAGGAGACACTGGTGTTTCTCCACGCTGGTGGCTGGATTCGATGAGAGGATACAGCCCTGGAAGAGAGGAAGGGCCGAGGAGGCCCAGACAGGGCAGAAGGAAAAACTCAGAATTCCATCATTTGGAAATAGGAGCCTTTCACTCCGTTCCCCTTCCCAGAGGCTCCATCCTCAACCCCGAGTCCCACTGTGTCCTTATGTTCCTCACCTTTTTCATATCAGGTCTCCCCCTTTTTTTGGGGACAGAAAACTAGGAGTGTCTCTTGGGGTCAGGAACGTGGCCAGTGTAGGTGCCATTTGTTGAGCGCTCACTGGTAAGAACTTGTGAGTTTATCCCTCTAGTTGTCCCAAGAAGGGAGTTGTCCTTCCCACTCTGTGTGCCTTACAGATGAAGTTTGTGAGTTTACACAGCCACTCAGCCCTGCCTCCCAGCGTCGGCTTCTCACCCTGCTGCTCTCCCATGTGGAGCGTCCAGTGTGTATAGCAGGTGAAGGGCCAGAGGAGCTGCTGTGAGAATGCGCCTTATACATCCCACCGTCCTCTGTGGGCCTCTGCAGCCTGTTGAGGGGCCTCACTCATGACTTAAAAGCCCCAGATCTCCATGATTTTTACAGTTGCATGCCGCATCACAAATACATCTGACTATAATATATGTCCAAAAATGGCTTCAAAAACCCTTGTGAGCACAGGGTTTAGAGAGCCTCTTGAGGAAACAAAAGCTCCAGTGGCTCCTTTAGGTCTCTGTGTGTGTGCGCAGATGTGTTTCAGTTGTATGGCTGCAGACGTGGTCATCTCAGATGGCACCGACTGCCCTGGGCTTGGGAGGCACTGGCAGTAAGGCCTTTCTGAGATACTCGTTTGTCCCGTGGTGACTACTGCAGACAGCAGGAGGTGGGTGCTGTATCTAGCTCAGAGCCGAAAATGACTGGCTGCAGGCCATGTAGTACTTAGTAGTTGACCACACTTTAAGAACAGGGCTCTTGACATCCGGTTCTGGAATCTCTTCCGTCTGCCAGAGCTGCCTCCAGCCCTGGGCTCTTCTCTCCTGTTCTGCCCACATGGGCTGATCTTATTCTGTAGCTCCTCTTCCCCTCCCTGGACTGCTCTTCCTCTGCCTGAACTCAGACTAATTTGGCATCCCTTCGCTGGTCATTCAGGACCCCGTGTCTCTCTTCCTCTGACTTTTGTGCAGCACCCTGCCCTATCCAGCCTGCTCTCAGGAAGCAGAACTTACCCTGGTAACAGGGACACTTTAGGCAGAGCAGGAGGAAGGCGGTGGGCAGAAGCTTCTTGCTGAGAAACCCCAGGACCACCGGGGAAAGAAAGGGAGTGAGGTTTGTTTCCCATCTCTCGTGCACTGGGCACTTCCCACACTTTATCCCATTTAACCCTGCACCCCTTCCAAGAAAATAATTAGTCCCATTTTTCGATGAAAAAAATGTGCTTTTAGGAAAGTTAATTTGCCTGGGGTCGTCCAGAGAAGGAGTGGACAAGAGCCTGGGTTTGGGCAGTCTGGCCACATTCTTTCCACTTGGCCGTGCTGCCCGGGAGGAAGTTGTCCTCTTCTTTCTGTTTGCTGTTCTTAGCTTTCCTTTCCGTTCCTAAGTCCCTTTCCCCCTCAACAGAAAAATGTGCTTGTGTCAAACTGGTCCCTGGTCGTTCCCTTACAGTGCTTTCCGTTCTCATCTCTCGGCTCACCAAGCTGCTTTGCTACATGTTCTCCACGCTCCAGCCCTGTCCTGCCCCATTCCAGACTCCATCTGGTAAAAAAGCCTTTCTCCAGACCATGTTGAAAGTTCATTTCCAAGATTACCTAGGTTTGTGAGCCTTTTCAGTT